AGCCATACATGACTTATGACCCTCTTAACACCTCTAGTAGCTCTGAGTCAAGTCTGGTCTAGATTTTAAAGTACAGAGTAGAGAACTGTAGTCTTTGCTACCTTCACTGTCATGTAGGTTAAACCCGAGTCCACTGTAGTAAATCCCTCAGACAGTATGGACAGTACAGTATCCCCTTGCATGTACTCTTAGCAGTCAATTACTGTCCTCGAATTCCCCATGATGATTATGGTGTAGCTACAGAATAGCAACCACTGTATCATTGATGCCAATTTGGGGATTTTTCCTATATGTGTTGTAACTGAAATAGGCAAATAAACATATTTCAAGAGAGGTGAACAATTCAAGTGTATGCAATTCACGTATTCACAATGTAGCCTTTTGATTATGTTATAAAATGTACTTCTATTCCTGTTTTTAAACAATTGATTAAAAAGGCAAATGATAAATAGTTCAGTTTTTTACTACTGTAAGAGTCTGTGCACAGAACACAATATAAGCTCTACTGCTCCGGAGAATAACACTGTAGCTACTTATCATTAACTCAAAGACACAATCAGCCCCAGGCGATCCGGCTTCCCTCCATAACCTTTTGACATTGCTGCTGGGAAGGTAAATGAGAGAAGAAGTTAGACACAAAGAGGGGGAGAGACGGGGAGACAGAAAGATTTGATTATGAATAGTGCCAGAAAATGGTTAGACCAAAAAACTTAAGAAAGTAGACTGCTGAGGGGTTTTATAAAATAATACTAAATATTGTTTTCATGCCATGACTTCATTTTCGGTTATCTATTATTTGCTCTTAGTTAACTACCTGGAACGGGATTGGAACAATAAACTGGCCACTTTGAGTATTCCCAGTACCAGCAGCTTTAGAGTGTGTTTTCCTCTCTGGTGTGCATTAGTGCCATGCATGGGTTAACATTTTCCCAGTGAGAACGGTTGGGATATTGCAACTCGGACTGGCCAGTCAGCAGAATGTTATGAATGGGCACAATGAAAAACCCCAAGTCCACGCTGTCGACCCAAGAATGCTTGCCTCCATGTAATTAACTGTTTTCTGTGTACAGAATGAGGTACTGCTGGAATATCTCTTTATTTGTTTCTGTTTCTATTACAGTCATGATTTGAAGAGAAGAAAAAAAAAACACATTCTGAGAATTCTACATGGAAAGTATTTTTGCCTGTCCATACTTTGAAGTATCCCATGACTAATACAGTGATTATTAGGGTAGTGGTGGTAATGGAACGGACCATTTGAAAAGGGTTGGTACGTGCTCTGCAAAAGCCGGCCTCATTGCTCTTTGGGTGGACGAATGGCAGCTGCTTGTTATGTGCATTTATGTGAGGATGAGGCAGTATGAAGTATAACATGTGGGAAAACCTGCATCAAGGTATAAACGACGGTTATCTTGTTAAACATGTTTTATACATTCAGCCTTGAGGTATAAAAGCAATTAGGAATGCGTTAACTGCACACACACACATGCACGCATACAGTCATACACAGTATGCTTTGATTGAAAAATCACCTCTCTTAGAACTGTACAAACTGTGTATCAATAAAGAGTTCGCTCCGCACTGCGGTGAAAATGGCCCCAGCATATATAAATAACGTACAGTAACTGGGAACAGACTTCAACTATGTAAAGAATAACATCTGCAAACCATTGGATTATAAACCTACAGAATAACTACAGTATAATTACTTGAGAGCCTCTCTCTTGGGCACCATGTTGTTAGAGGCAAGAGGGATGAGGAGAAAGTGGAACAGCTACAGTAATCTATCCAACTTCATTTCACTGGAGTGATTCTGCCTGGGGGTATGCACAAGTCATAATGCATTTGACAAATAGTCTCTCGCTAAAACAGGCATTTGCGAAGAAGTGGCCTTCAGCGCTGGTATACACAGCTGAGTGTACGCTGAACAAACAAGCCTCCCACTCAGTGAGGAAAGATACAGAGAGCTTCAAAAAGATTAGGAGAAATCTTGGGCGAAAAGTAAAGATGACTCACGGTGATTGTGCAAGTGCAGGACAATGCAAGTTGGATGGAGTTGAGAAGAGCAACAGCGCCTTGGGGTTCACGGCAAAAATAAAAAAGCAACGCTTATCTCATGTGTTGTTCTTTGCGTTGTTCTGAAATGTGGCTGCACAGGTTCTTTTATTAAATAATTTACAATGACATGCAGAGAAGTACAATGGCATTTTCATCTAACGCAATCTCATCATCATTTTGTAATTTAATCAAATGTAGGTTTGAAAAAGGAAATCAAAGCGTAAAGTACATTAGACTTCCTTTGATTCCTACATTTAGAACTACTGTATTTTGTTGATGTTTAAGGTATAATTGTAGGAAAACCATTGCCTAAATTCGTAGGTCAAGTGCATTCATGGATTTGTGGTAATGACTTATTCTGTCAATGTGATCCATATTCCTGGCAGCCATCAATCAATCATCAGACTGAATGTGGTAGATCAGTTCAAACTAGTTTCAACTTACACATTCCTTACGTTCCTCAATTATTAACCCCTTCAGGTAGAGAACAGCTTGAATATGAGCATACACACAAAGCCATTTTTGAAAAGCCGAATAGTCACTGGCAGAAATAGATGTGTTTGCTAGAACAGGAAGTGCTGGGCTTTTATAAATGGACTGTCCCACTTAGTATTATACACACTTCCTGTTAGGTTAATTTATTACTGTACAGTAATGATGCAAAACCACACAAGTGAGTTTCATATAAGTCATTTATTCTGACTGTTTCAAGTGTAAATAAGGGTAAATGAAAAGCTAATACTAATTGAAAAAACTACATTCAAACCATGCATGCAATAGCTATAACCAACTTCATAAAAAATGTGAAATACAAAAAACTATATTTTCATCATCTTTATCTTTATCATCTTTGCAAGCTTCCCTATTAACACCTGCTCACACAGTGCAACTCCAGGGGGTCAACTCCATCTCGCTCACAAATTAAACTGCCATAGAGGATGAACTATTGGCCAAACGCCATATGAAGCTCCTGTATCATTATTCAACAGTTATGTGTGGTAGTCGGCACAGATCGGGCTCAGATAATGTGTCACTTTACATCTTAGTCACAGATGCTACTTTAGTAATGACAATGTTATACGATTCAGTCCTTGAAACCCAAATCTGCTTGGTAGCGGGCCAAAAACCTGAGAATCATGATAACTGCTGCAGTTCATTCTGTTAACGCTACAAGACCTGAGACATGGCCTCGGTCCGAGAGCCAGGTCTCATTGTGATCTTAAATACACATCCGCAGCATCTGCCGTGCATGCTTAATTTGCTTATAACATTATCACAAAGAGATTGCAAAAACCCTTCAATGTGAGAATATTTTTGCTTGTAAACTCTTCATTAACAGGCTAATTTGAGGTGTGATTTAATATTATTCCACTTTAGGATCAGTTCATGTTGGGGTTTAAGTTGTTGTTACAGCAAGTTAGGGGTTAAGGAATGACTGTAGCCTCATGTATTGTAATTCAAACCTCCCTCTGCAAAGTGGGTGTGAGAGTGTGTGTCTGTGTTGTTCGTTTATACATACAGGTGACTGTGTGTATGGACAGGGGAGATTAACAATTCAAATATTGTACTGTGCTATAATGTTTCACTTTGTCATCAGCAAATGTTAACTGCCTGCTGGCCTCCTTCCAGTGCTAAGGCAAGCAAACCTATTTGTATGGCTGCGGGTATAATGCCTTCTTCTAGCTCTGCCAAATGTTTACACAAGTTTTACCCCTGACCACATGAAAAAATAGCCTTGTGGCATGTGACTTGTAATCTTGAAATATGTTGTACATTTGCCTAAATGCAAAACCTTTATCAATCAAAGTAAGGAGTCAGAGCCAGTGCACAATGCATTTAACGAGTGAGAAGGGGACAAAAAGTGATCTCTTTACAGTACCATGATGACATTCAACAGAAAAATCAGTAAACTTGACAATGTCCAAATATAGACTGATGTTAACTGATTTGGTGATTATTTTCCTCAAAAGGCAGCTTATCACAAATGCAACTACTCCTACTTATAAAAGTGACTGACGTTCCGGTAATATTGGATACGATTCCGTGCGTAAAAACGCATATGCAATCCCTAACTTCTCACCGATGTTGAGAATAGCTGATAAACAAATTCCAGTATGTGATACTTTAGGATTGCAAACCAAAACATTGGTTTCTATTTAGGTTGGAGACCAATGAATTATTCCTAAAAAGTTATTATGTGTACAGTGATGAGATTGGATGTGTGCGCAAAAGCTAAGCAAGCCTGTAGGCGAATGTATATTCTTCATGAAAAACACTTTAATCGAGCAATGAAACACATACAAAATATTATGCAGACTGTTCAGCTTATAACTGAACAATATACATCTTAGAATCACAAACACCCCGATCCCTAACCTGCAGTCAAGTTCACATTTAGAAGCAATCTTTACAGGTTTGTATTAGACTAATTGTGCATTGTCCCATATTGGTACCTGTTTGGAGCATATACGATAGCACTTTCTTTCACTAATATGGGTTGGATTGAGCTTTTTTCATGCATTTAAGTAAGGGGGAAAAAGGCACAATCAATTGGTGTGTATTCAGTAGCTCCAGTGCGCTGGAGAGAGGGGTGCTCCAACTCAGCTCACAGGACAGCTACAGTACAACGTGCCCTTAGTTTATCCAGATTAACACATTACATTTATGAAAATTAAAGGGTGCACTAGCTCAGAACAGGTGTCATGTGTGCCTTTCTGCAGAGTTCAAAACAATCTGCTAATTAAAAATACAACAAAGTTCAAAGACAATGCAGCTCCAAGACTAATTCATCCCGAGGGAAATACAAGTGCAGCACTCCCCAGTCATGCTCCTTCTACACATACATTATGCTCCTGCTCATGGCACACCATGCGCGTGCATCATTACACCAATTGCTGCACCCCTGACCAACTATAAGTCCGTAAAGTAGAAATCATTGTTACCTTGTTGGAGTGGTAATAGTCCAAACCGGAGTCAGTACATGAACCCACGCTTGAAGGGGGAGCTGGATAAAATCTGACGTCCATCTCAGAGTCCGCAAGACTGACGGCATGAAAGCGTAGCTCCACAAACCTGCGCGACTTCTCTCTCTCTCTCGCGCTCTCTCTCTCTCTCTCTCTCTCTCTCGCGCGCTCTCTCTCTCTCTCTCTCTCTCTCTCTCTCTCTCTCTCTCTCTCTCTCTCTCTCTCTCTCTCTCTCTCCCTCTCTCCTGCACACACTTTCCTGCACACACTCTCTCCCTATCTTTTTCTTTTAAATCGAACAAAAAGTAGAAGAAGAAAAAAGAGGTCGTTCACACACGTCCTACACTTACTTTAGCACTATCTGGACATTCAGCATGGTGATGCTCGGATATAACATCCCTATAAAGTTCACTTGGAAAGAGGGGAAAACAAGAGGGCAGCTGCACGCCTTAGTGAGCAAATAAAAAGCCAAACGGCCACTGAAGTTTGTTTGGCAGCGAGCCAAGCCGAGCTGAGCTGCAGGTAAAGGTGCAGAATGGGTCTTGTCGACGGTTTCTCCACAAAAACGCCCCGTGCTCCGTTCCCGGTTTCCAGACGCGCTGTAGCTTTGTCATGTGGGAGCGCTCAGACACATCCATGCGTTCCCGGACACAGAGGGGCTGCTCGGCTGCGACCTCTATCGGCCAGAACAGGGACAGCAGGAGAGGAAGTGTAGTAGACAATGAGTCCCCCCACACTGGGGTCTCTCAGACTATCCTCAGTTAGAGAGACAGTCTATTTGTTGTAGTGAAGACATCAACAATCTATCTCAAGTTCATTTAACAGTCTGATTTGTAGACAAAATGTTGGCCATAAACGTGTTTAACTGTAATCTCTGAGATTATAATCAAGATCACAACCAACCAATCCATTGAAATTGATGGATTTGTCCATTCCCTGTCATTTAAGAAATATACAGTAGTGGACGAAGTATTCCAATCAGTGAAAGTAGTAATACCACACTGTAAAGAATACTACTAAATAAGCATTTGAGAAAGTGTGTTTAAAGTATGGAAAGTACCTAAGGCAGCAACACGGCCCCTGTTTTTAATGCCATACTATTCTATTCTATGCCATTCCATTCATGGATAATCTCTAACTTTCCTATAGTTGATCAAGGTCAAGCTACCTTTGAATGTTTTATATGGCGCTTGGTGGCTCAATCTAAAATAGGGCATTATATTTTTATTAGATTGATATTTAGCAAGAAAATAAGTAGTAGCTCAAAAATGCTCTACAGTGATTGAGAAAAGGAATAAAGTTACATTTAATTACTAGTCTACCACCACCACCACAGGGTAATTATTGTTACATGTATAAGCTAAATAAACCATACAACACAAGAATATAACAAATGCAATATCTTAAGTTGAATTTGATGAAAATGTGAATATTTCTAAAACATGTCCCTCTGATGTAATACCAGGTTTGAATGCGTCACTCACATAAACAGTATAGCTTCAGTGATGGAAATACCTGATAAATAATGTATCGTGTTACGTTGTTATACAATGTAAGGGGGAAAAAATGTTACTCTGAAGCTACTCAAAGGGAAACATTTTTAATAGAAAACCAAGGTTCAAGCTCTTAACAGCCTCATTAACTTTGTATGATTGGAGTGTGACTATAATCCAGATGAGAAAATCTAACATTTCCCTTTTGTTTCTTTATAATGTCACTGACTGGACTGTCAGGGATGACCATTAAAAGAGCTACAGGCTGAATGTTAGGAGGGATGCAGCTAAAAAGGATAACCCTGCACATTTGGCCAGACATATATAAAGGTCAAATATGTTTTAATATATTGAATATAATAAGACTTCCTGTTTGTGATCATTTTAAGGCAACAGACTACGGGGTTAAAAAGCTAACTAATGTTTACATAAATGCCGACATTTGAGTTTTGCCATCCGTGTTAAACATTTAAATTACTTACATCACTTCTAACGCACTTGTTATGATGTGTAATACAGCTCTTATTAAGACCATGAAGATCACGCTTTGCTATAATTTATGGTAAAAATCAGTTTCACATGCTCCAAACCACTAAATCCACTGCCTTAAGCTATTTCGGAAATATACTTTTTTTACCTTATTTCATTTCGATGCCTGTCTTCCATCCAGCAGGCAGTTGAATACACACTGAGAATAGATAGGTTCTCATGGTAGCTGACATAATATATATATATTGCTACTGTGCTCCAGCTTTGACCCTTACAGGACACACACACACACACACACACACACACACACACACACACACACACACACACACACACACACACACACACACACACACACACACACACACACACACACACACACACACACACACACACACACACACACATATACACATTCACATTTACACACAGCTGGACAAACGCAAAACATACTCACGCAGCGGTCGACACAACAGGATGTAAACACAGAACAATGTCCAACCAGAGCTTCAAATAGGTGCAGGGAGGGAAAATAACACCGCTCACAGCCAAATGTGTATCACACTGTTCCTAAGAATGGGGTGGAGTGGTGTTATGTGCTCACTCATACGTGTAGGGAAGTGTCATTAATTCGTTTTTTGCAAGGCAGAGCAACATGTAAGTTACGCACACCGGCCCAATTTGTGTATTTCTTGTTGTTCTGTGCTTTTGGTGTATATGTGGGAGTTTATTTTTATTTTTCGGTGTGTTTCTGTTACCAAAGCTGCCATTGTCAACCCAGTGGGTAACTTGTTGGCCCCCTCAGGACTGGGCCTATGTTCGCGTAGCTATTACACAGCATGGAGGCTCTGGCCCTGGGGTGTGAGCTGCTTTAATACCAGGCACAGATGGGTCACACTGTGGGCTTGCTGTGGTGATCTGCCATCAGCTGCCAACTCAGCCTGTCCTGAATCCAAGCTTGTGAGGTTAACTGTCACAAAGACGCCGATTTCTCCTCATCCTGTACCTCTGTGTCGCTGTCTGTCTGACTCCTCTCTGCCCGTCTCTCACTGTCACTTGTTCACTCTGTTACTCAGTCACTGTTACAGCAGCAGATACAGTACACAGGGGTATCTGGCACCGGCCCACTCATGGCTTCATGGGAAAGGAATGCGTGTCATTCTTTGTGTTGCAGCGCTGCGTTACACGAGGTATTGGCCAGACAGAAAGCAAATGGTGCCGCAGAGAAGGAAAGACGTTTCATCAAATAAAGAGGGGGTGTAAGATATTTAGTAAATGGAAAGAGAGAAATTAGTGGAAGGGTGAAAGGATGAGACACCGGGTGGAATTAGTTGCGGGGGACTCAGACTGGTGTCACATGTAAATAAAGTGGAGATGACACAGTAACAGAAATATAAAGTCACACTAACTTTAAAGATGTGTAAAAAATAACAACTAATTTCCAACGTGGGATGCAAATCATGTAGTCTTCCTTGCCATCTTGAAAATCATTTATCCACTAAGAGCAATTAGCAAGAACAAACACTTTTTATTGCCTTGGTAAGAGCTCCAGCTAGCACCAGGAAACGAGAGAAAATATAAAAGAATATCTTCCATTAAGGGTTATGACCCAGCCGGTACTTGGATGATGTCAGCCGTACTGCTTTTATGACTTCTTCTGAGCTTAAGTGATTTTACTTTTCAGAAATGTATAAGTATTTGTCTTTGAGACTTCTAGACGTGGTGACTCTGAGCCCTCAAAAATTATTCTCAAGTTAAAAGAACTCAGTAATACTCAGTAATGCGTTTTGCTTTCACGGGAGAAATTGGCTTTGGAGAGAAAAATGTCACTTTTTATTAAATTGGTGTACAATTTACATCAGTGCAACATTTCCAGAGTGTGTTTCAAAAAGGTTTTCTTCCGTTTCTACTTAGCACCTTACATTTTTCCTCTTCTTAAGTGAGCAGTTCATTTTCCTTACACTTGTAAATGTGCTATGATTACCTCAAACCAGCGATAAACACCAAATAAATCACTCTTCCCTCTATCTTAAGTGTGACTGTTTTTTCTTTGTGCAAATGTTCTGTCTTCGCTTGTTTGTTTGACATCAGTGTATATCATTAACGAGTGCTCTTATCACACTTTGAGATATTTGCTTCCCTTTCCTTCTCTCAGTTTAAAAAAAAATGTTAAGCAATATGTGTTACAAAGAACAGAGCACCAGTGTTAAATAATGTATATTAAATTGGTTGTGATAAAGAAAATAAGTATTTTATCACAGAAAGAAGGAGACGAGCACTTACATTGGTCATAGACACTTCAAACCGAAATTATTCATAATAACAAAATCCTAATTTAAATGTAATCTGTGTTTTTTCTGAAAATAATAGATTCAACTTTATAGCTGCTCTTTATGGCATTGTGGAGCTTTGAGCTAGATACTAATGTCAACATGCTGATGTTTAGCAGGTACATTTTTATTATAAAGTTGACATTTTGAGTTCAAGGAAAGATAGAGAAGACTTAGAAGACAGACTCGGTTCTCTTGCAAGAACAGTTTCATAAAAACTAAAAATGTTAAGAGTTAACATTTCTTTAATAAAGTAAAGTGTGTTCACTTTATTACATTGCATGTATGTAAAAATACTCAAGAAATACAATTAAAAGCATAGGAAGTGGAAAAGAGAGGTGTCAACAGATACTGCAATGTACTTCAGAGGTACACTTATTCAACATGTCTTAAGTGGAATCCTTCTACTCCACACGAGATCCACATTAGCCTACTCTCTCATCTGTAAAAAAGAAGCAGTTATGCAAGTGTTATTTTTATGTCACTATAATAAGATCTTCAGTTCAGCGCTAGTTATGGGAAGTGAAGCTGTCAAGGTGCAGTTTCGTCAGACACAGCAGGACTTTCATTGTTGGTCATTTTTTGTAAAATATTAATGCTAATTCTGTTGTAAAACAGGTCAAAGCTTTCATGTTCAATAATTACTGTCAGGCGTTTACGAGGTCATGTTATTTCTTTGCTAACATCAGAGCAGCATGAGTTTTTTTTTTAACATGGATGTTGCATGGATGTTCTTTTCCTTTTAATCCAAATTGAAAGACCTACAATAAATGTTGCCTCGACTTTTGATTTAATTTAGCA